ATAGTTTAGAATTAAATTATGGCATGCTAGTAAATTAGGCCTTGGTGAGTTGTGTAACATATATTAAATTTGGAGCATTTGAGTAAGAATTGCAAAACTTATTTAATATTTATCTTTTGTGAAAGATTAATTCACATAGTTGTATCAAGTATGAAACCAACTTATAATGTGATATTAAAGTAGGCCTTGGTGAGTTCTTTAGCATATATTAAATTGAGGACATTTGGATATGTTTGAAAATCTAGAGAAAAATTAATTAATAAGCTTAATTAATTTTATTTTAAGTGTGTTGGTCACTTAAATTGATATTGGAAGTAATAGGTTGATAATCCCTTGAAATGTAGTCTGTTTAATCACCTTGTGAGTATGTTACTAATTTAATGTAGAATTAGTACTTAAGACCTCTTGAAATGATAATTGGACTTAGCACGATATAGAATATCATTGACTTGCATAGCTTGTTTAGATATATCTTGTGTAGGTGTATAACTTGTTAGGATATTACAATTGTTTACCTTGGAAGCTAGTTACTAAATTGAGACTTATTTAGTACTTGTGGCTTAGTGTGGTAATGTGGTTCAATTGTTGTAAAATATTCTTGTTTTGGTGTATAAATTGCATATTAGAGGCTTGACATGTCATATGCTATCTAGACTTGAATTACAGGACATGGTTTGTGTGAATTCAACCTTATTTGTGCATGGAAGATGGTTTTATGCATTAGTGGATTTGGTATAAGTTTGGTCTAACTTATTAATTTTTGTATAAGTTTTGGACTTATTGATTTTGGAAAGCTTGTAAGGACATATTTCACATGATGGCTAGGGTTTGGCTCTAGTACAGAGACAAGAGTCTTTTAAGTCATAAATGCGCACTAGGTAGTACCTTGTGGGTCGTAATTGCCCGGATTAACTTATGCATGTGCGCACTAGGTAGTGCCTTGTGGGTCGTAATTACCCGGAAACACTTACTTGGTCTAGTGACCACATGTTCTAGTCTTTCTACTTTGATTTCGCATTCAATTTCAAGTTGTTAATCATGGATTACTTGTAACTTGAGAATTAGTGTTTGCCTATGTATTTTGATCTCATATAGTATACTTGAAACTGTATACTTGAACTTGTATCCTTGTTGGTGTATCTAAACTCTATCTAGTGTATTTACACTTAGTATGCTTGTCATATGTGTGCGGATTTCATTTTTGTATACTTGTGCCATGTATATTTATCTTGTGCGTATGTGTTTAGCTTAGTATACTTGTGTTTGTATACTTGATTTATGAGTACTTTATACATATATCTTATACTTGTATATGTATACTAGATATTGTTTATCCCGTTTAACATGATTTAGTATACTTGTGAGCATGTGTACTTGAATGTCGTGTATCATGTTTTAATACGGTTTAGTGTACTTTAGCATGTATACTTATATGTCGTAGTTCATTTCAATTGCATGAATAGCTTAGGATGCTCCCTGAGTCTCATTTTGATATAGACGTTAGGTGGCATAAGCCCTTTTAACATGTTTCACCATAAGGTGATCTTATTGTAAAATGCTAGGTCGATGCATGCTCATCTCCTACGAGTAGCTTTATGTTACTCACTCACGTAGTGGGAACATTTTTCAGGTACAGGAATCAAGATTCGAGATTCTTATATTGCTTGGATGATTTGTAGCCTTGAAGGTTTCAATTCTTGTAAAAGTTAGCTTGAAATGCCACTTGTAACCTTATATGTCAAAATGTGTATATTTGATTCCAATTATGTAATGTGTACATAAGTACAGTCTATGCAATGTATTTGACATGTATGAGATGAGGCCAATGACATGTATCTTGTATTCTATGCAACTTTAACTTTATGAAATATTATGAAAATATTGAAAAATGCTATGTCATTGCTTCATAACTTTTGCATCGGGTGTGGGAATTCCATTCTTATTCTTTCATAGGGTCTTATAAATCATGTTTGAAGTGTGGCCAAGGGCCAAACGGTAATTTGAAATCATTTGATAATTTTGGTTTTCAAATTTCCCTTTTTTTGTTCATTTTTGCCTTTTTGCCCATTGGGGGGTCGGATTTTGTATCGGTGGTATTTTTAAGCCGTGGACCATTGTAGCATGTCCAAATAGGTAAGTTACGTTTGCGTGCATGGTCGTTTCCGGGCAAACCTTCTTCTTTGGTGAAATGAGCCTCCTATGGACTCATTTTGCAATTTTGTTGCATAATCTGATTTAGGGGCATTCTAGACCTTTCACATCAGTTTTAATTTCTTCTTTCGACATGGTTGAATAGAAAATGTGATTTTAGGGGGGGTTTCTTCTTCGTGTTTTTCCAGAAAATGTTGTCTTGGTATCAAAAATCCCTCGTAAAGTTTCAGCTTCCAGTTTGCATTTTAGCAGCTTTTTGGCCTTCATGACCAGATTTCATGGAGGGGCATTTTGGGCATTTTACAATGAGTTTTTTTTTAATTCTCTCGCGAGTCACGTAGAAAACTCGATTTTAGGGGGGGTTTCTTCTTTGTGTTTTTCTAGAAAAACTCGTCTTGACCTCCGTTTCAAGCCTCAGTTCTGAAAAACCTACTTTGGACCCTTGCTGTCAGCATGGGCATGCCATTGGGCACTGGCGCCGGGCGCGCATGGGGCATGTCATGGCCTTCGTCGAGCCGCCGCGACGTCAAAATTTCAAACACTCGTTTCTCCCTCGTCCGGACTCCAAATCGAGTGAACTTTTTTTTGAACTTGATTAATTTTTTGCTATCTTTCCAACGATATGCTCGGTTGCACCCGGATCTTCCTGAATAATTACCAGTTTACCTTTTTAGCCTTAAGTACTCGTTTTTCTTCATCATGCCGTTTCTCCTTCGTCCGGACTCCGAATCATGCAATTCTTGAGTCCATCTTGATTAGTTTTTCGTTGTCCTTCTAGCGGTGTACTCGGTGGTACCCGAGTCCACAATTTTTAGAAATGACTATTTTGCCCCTGAGGGCTTATTTGTCATATTTTTGATCTTTTGTTTCCATATCAATTCTCAATGAGTTCCACGACCTCATGGAAGGTCACTTTGACTTCTTAGAGTCTTGTTTTCTGTTTTCGCTTTCGCAATTCGGATCCATTATCGGGTCAATCTTCGGTTCATCACAGGATGCACTGGCTTGAAAAACCAGGGTCGTCACAACTACATCAACCAACCAACTTTAACGTTCATGAAAAAAAAAAAAAAAAAAAAAAAAAAAAAAAAAAAAAACAACCCTATCAGAAAACCCTCAACATCTAAAGTTACAGAACAAATAAGCACTAAGTCATCATAGATGCAGCAGAAGAAAGATTAGATCACTTACAGAGAACGTGAAGAACAGAAAAATGAACAACACAGCACAAACCACCAAGAATCCGAACAGTTGATCACACCATGCAACCAACTTTAGCTTTCTAGAAATTTGATAAAGAAAGGAATAAGAAAATATGCACGATTTATACTAGTGCTTCGAACGATGGTTCATGTTTGCAAAAATAAAGGTTCCATTTTTGCAGCAGATAAAAAGTGAGAGAGATCGAGATAGAGAAATGAAAGTTAAAAAACTTTGTTTTTCTTTCAGACACAGAGAAATGGAAAAGTTAGTGTGAGACAAAGGTGAAATAAAGAGGGGTAGGTTGCTATTAACTGAGGGGCATATTAGACATTTTGTCGTGCCTGATATTTTAGGATAAAAGTGATTTAAATATTTAGGGGCAATATCGTCTTTTTGAAATCAATAAAGCCTTGTTTCAATTACAAAATTGACGAGTGATCTCATTGTCCAAAAAAGGCCTAATTTATATATGCCTAACCCAAACTTTATGAGGTGTCGTAATTAACTCTTAAAAAAAATTAGGCAGTGTTGCACAAGACAAGTCGCGATCACCAATCAATTTTTGGCAACCCATTCCGCAACCTAAATTTTCGGGCCCACCAATTAGAGACTCCATTGGACTACTTGAATCTCTAAATTGGATCCAAAACCTCCAAAACTTACACCATTGTACCAGTTCTAAGAAGTCTTAATTTCTTCTATTTATTTCATTTTTCAGTTTCAGTTTCTCTCTATAAGAAATCCGTTTTTCTGCAATTCCTTTTTGGTTGCCTCTTCTTCCTCCCTGAGAAAAATTTCTCCCAATAAACTAAATCTGCCATTCACCAAAAAATAAGTTGATTTCCATTGGTGTACCGGACCGGTTCTCAAAAAACCGGCCAAATTGGTGGCAAAATTGGACAGTTCGTATAATCGTATGGAACCGGCCAATTCTTATGTGAACCCATACACACCGGTTTAATGGAACCGTAGACTATCAAAACAGTTACGAATTGGCCCAGTTCGGCACATTGACGGGTTCTCGGAACCATAAATCGTATTCCTTTATAATATATTTTAAACTCTAAGAGGTCCCACTTTTCTTAACTAAAGAATTTTCAAATGAACTAAAACCACTTGAAGACCGACCATCTTCTAATTTATCTGATGGTCAATGATATAGTATCAATATTTTCCTAGAAATCAATGAAAATTTGTTTAAAAAATGTTCATAATTGAAGCAATAATTTGGGTCCTCAATGGAATGATGAATATGAGAATTCAGTGATGCATAGTTCAAGTATGCATATACCAAGAGTACATTTGTTTATTAATGAAACTATATACAAAGTGAAAACTAAATATATTCAAAATAAAAGAACATTTGCTTAAATATAACATTCATCAAGTAATTAAATACAGTTTTAAGCATAATTATAGAAAGATTAAGGGTGCACACAAAAACAATTAAACCAATAAACCAAATCGGGCAGTAGGTTTGGTTCAATTCAGCTCCAGTTCCAAAATCAATTTCCTAATAATTACAATTTAAATTAAGTGTGCCTATTTAATTGGAATCTATTTATGCATCTGCATTTCCGAAATAAATTAACTAAATTTCACATGACCAAGTATCCAAACAATAGTAAGAAGACGAAAAGATAGGGTAAAGAGTAAAGACCAAAAAGCAGCTTTTCATTCAAGTTCACAAAACTAAACTTGCTACAACTTGCAAAAGGATTCAAAAACCATAACACCAAAAAGCAAAACAGAAGAGACCCTACTGAGCCTATCATCTAATGCTATATTAATTACATGACCAGAGAAGCAGAACTAGGCCTTGTCCTTCTTGGGTGACTTTGGCTGCTTGGTGGTCTTGTCAGATTCTGCATGTTTCTTTGGCAACAGAATAGGATTGATGTTGGGAAGAACGCCACCACTCGCTATAGTCACACCCTGAAGCAATTTCCCCAATTCCTCATCATTCCTCACCGCCAAAAGCAAATGCCTAGGGTTTATCCTGTTCTTCTTGTTGTCCCTTGCCGCATTTCCCGCCAATTCCAACACCTATTTCACCCAAAAACACAAATTCAGTCAGAAATCTGGAGAGAGACCCAACAAACAACAAAGCCCACTGTATAATTAAATCCAGCGAGATCCAGCTTTATAAACATAATAAAGGCTAATGTAAATAGGGAGCGATATCTGTAAAAATTTAAAGAAAAATATATACAGATCTATACAAATTTGCTTATAGATGGAAACTTATACAGAAATTGCAGAGAGAAATTAAATTAAAACCACACACACACACAAAAAAAAAAAAAACCCTTAGATCTCGAATGAGAAATAGAGGGCCAGATCTGTAAAAAAAATTGAAAGATTAGAACATATTGACTTCAAATGCTTACATATAGTACACAAATAGATACATATAGACACACAAACGCACTAACTAAAAGAAATTTGCTTCAAAGCATAGAGATTTGTTTCTATCTAACTCAAAGGGATAGAGAGATTAGATGATACTGTACCTCAGCAGCGAGGTACTCGAGAACGGCGGCGAGATAGATCGGAGCTCCGATGCCGGTTCGCTGAGCATAGCGTCCCTTCTTCAAGAACCGGGCGATTCGGCCGACCGGAAACTGAAGGCCGGCTTTGACGGACTTCGACACCGACTTCTTTCTCTCACCTCCTCTCCTTCCTCCGAAACCTTTTGTCTTTGTAGACTCCATTGCACCTTCTGAAACTCTGAAGCTCTCCGATCAAATCTATAAACGCAGTGTCTTGGAGGGAAATTTCTGATCTTTTTCGTTTTGAAGATTTTCAGCTGCGAAAATGGTTATTTATAGGCCCGCGAATTGGTGTTGAGTTTGAAGTTTGAGAAGTTTTGTGATGTGATCGAACGGTTTTAGAGATGAGACACGCTGGCGATCCGTAGTGTCGTTTTTTTTTGGAGTTTATATGATGGGTGATCTAACGGCTCAGAGCCGAGACACGCTGGCGATCTTTGTGTGCATGAATATAGCCAATGGGGTTGTGCGGCACTAATTTTTATGACGTGAATATATGTTTTTTTTTTTTGTGATAAAATAGAGAAATGTGTTATGCAAAAAGTGACGTAAGAGACGTTTTTCTGTGGTATTCTTGAGGGCTTTTTGATAAATTGAGATGAATTCGTTCAATAATAACCCCAAAACCAATAGTATTTTTTCATTTTTTTCTTCCTGGCGCAAAGGAAACACAATAACAAAAGAAAACCAAAAGCAACAAAAAGCTAATTAGTGAAAAAATCAACAATAATTTAACTTGATAAGTGTATAAAACAATCTTAAAATATATTTTAAATAATATTTTTATTCCTATTTGAAAAAGTTTGTAAGAAATATCTTTAATCTTTTTACATTGTACAAAAATATTCCATCTAACATAAATTAATGTTACAATACCCATTTTACCTTTTTATTTTTTCGAAAATGCACAAGGGTATATATACACTACTAATCTCATAGTATAAGGTGTTATGTGTACATTATCTCTTTTATACTCTTATTTTATCTTTATTTTTCTTTTATACTCTTATTTTTATTTTTTATTTTTATTTTTACTTCTTCATTGTCGGCTTCCTCCAATGGTATTATATACTATCATTTTATAAAATTATTTACTTTTATATATTATATAAAATGATCCAGTAGAGGCAATTTAGTTAACTTTTTTGGGTTTAAATTTGTCACGGAACCTATTTGCACCATATTAAAACTTTAGGGGTGATTGTAAAATTATTTATTTTTATATATTTTATAAAATAGTTCAGTAAAGATAATTTAGTCAACTTAGAGTTTAAATTTGTTATAGAGACCTATTTCCACCAAATTAAAACTTTATAGGTGTTTTTTATACATAAAATGTGTGATATGCAGTGTAAATATATTTTAAAAATATTTTCTACACTTGATCCTATAATTAAATATGTCATACTTCCTATTGCTTATCATTTCAAAAAATTTAGTGCTTTTTAGTAGTACAGTAATATATTAGTGGTTGAATTAGAATTGAATAGGGCGGATTTTTAATGGTAAGCATTGGAAAACCGGATTTTGGATGAAATTTGGCCCAGGAAATTTTAATTTTTACAATTTTGGGACGAAATTTGGCCCGGGAAATTTGTTTTTGACAATTTTGGGATGAAATTTGGGCCGCTTTTTTTTGGAAAGTTCAAAAATGAACCATAAATAATTTTGGATCCAAAAGTTAAGAAAAAATAACTGGATAATGAATAAATCTGTTTTTGAAGTACATGTATTTAAAGTAGATAACCTTTGCATAAAAAATTTAAAATAAAATCCAAAGTGGCAGAATCTCAAAAAATTTCGAAAAAGTAGGATATATATATATATATATATAAGAAATGATAGGTCTTCCGATTACAATTGACGACTCATCCTTAGAATATAATGTGATTGGATGATATTGTAACTCTTAAAACAAAATTCCATAAACATCTCTTTCTTTTCAACTCATTCTTAACCACGTTATACTCGGAGAATGAATCGGCAATTGAGGTCGAAAGATGTATCAGTTTTTCTTTTTCCTTTCTCATCTTTACCATTATCTATTTTGCATCAAGCATCTCAACCATGAACGCCAGTTTTTCTTTTTCCTTTCTCATCTTTACCATTATCTATTTTGCATCAAGCATCTCAACCATGAACGCCCACCTTATCATCTCGCTTACCACTAGCGGCAATCTAATCCATTATATAAAAGATATAATATCTATATATATATGGTACATGAAGTTATAATTGAAAATCACATATTACGAACTGATATTTTTCTTGATTGATGAAAATAATTATTTAAAATTTAATTTTAAAGAAAAATTGCAGCAACGCCGGATTTCCCTTTGATTTCCAAAAAGACGCTGAGATTTAAAACCCTAATTTTAAGAAAAGATTACATACAATACAAGTACGAACTACGAACTTAAAAAAAAAAAAAAAAAAAGGTTTAATTTGTGATATTTTTAAAGTTAAATTTGCAAGGTTATGAGCCGTGGTGGTTGCCGTGCTTGGATGTTCGTATTTTGGGAGAAACGATCCACGTGTTTAGTAATTGTTTTAATTAATTTATTGAAAAATGCGTAAATTTTGATAAATAAATAAAGATAAGCGTGAATCGTGATGACATGACATCCATGTAGATTCGGTTAAGGAAATAGGTTAGAGTCTTCTATGTGAATATCACTACTCTATTTTTTTTCCTAGTTATATTTTAGACCAGTTGCACCACTAACAAAAAATTTGAATATTTAACCCCTTTTTATAACAGTAAAAGGTTATGATGTGTGCTAAATGATATAACTTGGTAAAAAACAAAAAATGACATGGTCGACAGGCAAAGCTAGTAGATATTATGTTGTTTTGGTGCGAAGAAATATAATGGAATATTCATTTTAATTATTTTTTGTTTGGTATGTAATTTAAAGTAGGATTGGTTATTCCATTATAAAAAAATTCAGTTCGAGATGAAAATTCATTCCACAACTAAACTTATAAAATGACCATTCCATTCTCACGTAAACTTTTTTAAAAAATCAAATTTCCAAAAACCGTCATATTCCCATTCCAAAAACAACCATCATTACCTCCACCTTCCAACACAACCCTCATAGCCTTCCACCACCGTCACTGCTACCACCACCATTAATATTGTCGCCTTCAACCACCGTCACTGCTACCACTACCATTAATATTGTCGCCTTCAACCACCATACCGCCTCCATTGACTTTCACTACCGCCACCGCCACCACCGCCACCTCCACCATCGCCATAGCCATCACCTTCCACCACTATCACTGCCACCGATATCACTGTAGTTTGCCACCTCCTTCCATCACTACCGCTTCTATTGCCTTCCACCACTATCGCCACCACCTCCATCACCTTCCACTATTATCACCTACACCATGCACTAACACATTCCGCCACTATCACCATTGCTTCCGCCACCGCCACCGCCACCGCCTTCCTCCACTACTTTCCACCACCACCATTGCCATTTTAAAAAAAAAAAAGTTATAAAAGAGTATTATTTTGTTAATTTAATTTATTTGTCACTAAAAGATGTATTTTGAAAAATTCAATTTGAAAATAATTCTATTCTAAATTTTAAATTGGTCCAATTATCACTAGAATGATTATTATAACTCCATTCTCACTGTAACGACCCACTTCATCACATGGTATGATATTGTCTGTTTTGGGACTGAACCCGCACGGTTTTACTCTTGGACTTTACCCAAAAGGCCTCATATCAATTGGAGTGACATACCTACATATAAACACTTTACCTTTTCCCTTTTTTAAGCGATATGAGATTGTGCACCCGTAGCTCACTAGTGTGATAGCCTGTCAGTGTCTCGCAATTGCCCACGGCACACCCGCCCACAGGGTCATCACAATCCACCCCCCTTGGAGGCCCAACGTCCCCGTCGGCACACTTCCGGCTGGGTTAAGCTCTGATACCATTTGTAACGACCCACTCCACCACATGGTATGATATTGTCTGCTTTGGGTCTGAGTCCGCACGGTTTGGCTCGTGGACTTTACTCAAAAGGCCTCATATCAATTAAAAGGACACACCTACATATAAGCACTTCACCTTTCTCTTTTTAAGGCAATGTGAGATTGTGCACCCGTAACTCGCCAGTGTAGTAGCCTGTTAGTGTCTCGCACCCACCCACGGCACACCCGTTCACAGAGTCATCACATTTACACATTTTGTAACAAAACAATAAAATGAAAACTCAATTTCATTTCTACTTGCATTTTATTTCATTCATATATACCAAAAACAACCATTCCGAACAAGAATGGAAATTCTTAAGTCAAGACATCCTCGACAAAATACACAAAAAAAATATGTTCCACATCAAGTAGCAATTGTTTGTCATAAACCATTTGGACCGAGTAGGTCTTTCTGTGACATGGGATTAACATGTTTTGTGTTAGGTGCGTGGACCTAGAATATATAGTACCCTCGAAATTGTTAGTATTTTATATTATTAGAAAAAAACAGAGGATTATTGGAATGCAACTGTCACGACTATTGCCACCATATATCGTCTATGTTAGATGTTAGTGAGCTAATACCATGTCGAGTAATTGATTACTAATTTTAATTAAAAAACACATATAAGACTAAATAGAGAAAATTAGTTAAACCGAAGACAGTTATTTCATACATTATACATACTACGTATTACACTGCTTTTCGCTTATACATACTTCGTATTACACTGCTTTTCGCCCTAATTGGCTTTTTGAGAATGTTACATGCAGCAGGGAGACCAAAAAAAAAAAAAATCACCATTGAATTTCAAGATGCGATTTTTCGTTGAATAATACTTTAAGGACCGAATCCAACAATTACCGACTCACACATAAATTGAATTCGATAGTTGTTGAATTCGGTTCCTAAATCACAACTCTTATGTTATTACCGGACTATTTTCAACAACATGTCCATTCAGGTTGAGCCCTTAAATTGTTCGGTGACCCGTCTAACAAGAAATATTGAACTTCACATGGATAAGATTTAATGATCTCCAACTGATACCTCCTGAGATCAACAGCAGACTTGAGTGTTTCATTCATGGCCTTCCGAGCATCTTCCAACGTCTCCTCGAGGTCTTGATTCAGCAAGTAGAAGGAGCAAATCTGGCTGAGGATGAGGTCGTGCCGTTCCTCGAACCGTATCACTCTGTCTTCTGCATTTTCCAAGGCCTCCCATATGATCCTTAGCTTCTCTTTTGTGTTCTTTCTCCTCT